ATTATGATATCAACAATCAAAGCTACAGGCAAAGATGTTTGTTACTGAATGAGATGCCCCATATTTTTAACTACTCCAAATTACGATTATGCTTGTCATATTAAAAGTACATTTGTAGCTGTGTGAGCTTATAAGGGGACTATTCCCCTAATTAAAAAATAAAATACAAAAAGACATACAATATAAAATGTGCCATAACTTTTTTACAGTCCACAATTTATGCTTCATGTATTTTTTTTTTTCCAATTTGTTAAATTCAGCACATAAAGGGTAAATGTCTATTAAAATGTTCAGAAGTGTGTTCTCTGTGGAGGATGTTTAAATTTATTTTCACTTTTCACTTAGTCAACCAAACATCATTTGATCAAGGGCACCCAAACTCTGGATTCAACTTTCGTATGCTGTTTGTTCTTTCTCTTGAAAAAACTGCATCATCTGGACAGCTCTTTTAATTATGCCCATGTTGCCTGCCCCAGGCCTAGGGGAACCTGAGCCGTGCACAAGATGATATCATAACAGCGAATGGCTGTATGATGGCAGGAGATGGTCGATCTCTCTCTCTCTCTCTCCTCTCTAAAATGACAAGGAAAACCAACACAAAAGTCAATGTGTCGTCAGCGTGCGGTGCAAGGTTTATTCTGAACCTTTTACCAACTTAGAAATTACTTTTGTATGTTCAGTGCTATTAAATATACAGAACCATTTGTAATTCCAAAAAATGCATTCCCACATTACATTGACATCTGAAGTCTAGGCTATGTTCATCTTAATTCGCTGAAGTTTGAGAACCTCTGTATCAAAATTAAGACTGTAATACAATTATCTCTACATCATTGTTTCAAATAAACAACAACAGAAAACAGATTGCTTTTAGCAATAAAGCTGATATTGCATTTCTAAAGCTGAGCTATTTTTTTACTATAAACAAATATTCAAAACACATATCACAATAGTAAGAGCTTAGTACAAAGAACCTCATTGTTTTCATGGGTACCGCCATTTCAGAACAAGCTGCTAACAGATAGCTAAGCTATGGGTTAATACAGAAAGTAAACGTTGCTTCACAGATGCGCAAAACAACTGAAAGAAACTACTTTCTAAACAATAGATCTGATGTTGCTAGTACATACTTTGGATTTTCAGCAGAACACAGAATTACAGAAAATGTAGATGAAAAACAGAGTTTGTTTCTGCTACTTAACAGGCTAGAACAAAGTTAAGTTCAGCTGGCACTCGTATTTCTCACATTACCACATTCGCTCCATAAAACTACACAAAAACACACCTTATACGAACTATGATATGACACAATGCTTCCTGAACATTTCAACATACAGTTGAACTACTTTGAATGTATAAAAGAGTGTTTCGTACCTCTAAAATGACAAGGAAAACCAACACAGAAGTGAATGTGTGTCGTCAGTCTGCGGTGCAAGGTTTATTCTGAACCTTTTAACGACACAGCCCGTTTTCCTGTCGGTTCAGCCTACTCTACTGGATGAAATAAATATAACTCCTTTCTCTAACCCCTTTAATGTCCTCAAAAGCAATGGACTTTCATATTTCGTCTTTTTTATTTGTTTGGGGCAATAATAAAAACAATTGGTGCTTTTTTTTCGTTTTTTTGACCCCACAATTTAAAAAATATTCATGTCTACCAAACGGTTGAGATGGCACTTTGTGGCATACATAGTGACTCAAAATGTGCTCTACCAAATGGTTGAGCAGAACATTAAAGGGTTAAAAGACTAAATGATTTGACATTCTCAGCACTGTCACAAAAAAAAGAAACAATGGTGTACTAATGTCCATAATAAGCAAAATGTAATAAAACCAAGTCAAATAAATTTATAAAAAAAAATGTGAGAGTCCCTAGTTTACTGAAACTAATAAACCCTTTTATTTTTCAGTCCTCTACACCCATATTCTGTTCTGTTTGCAAAGTGAAAAACACATCTACATCCAAAACGGTATGTCATTGTGAATAACTACATTACAACACAATAACAGAAAACCTCTTAAGCTGAAAGATAGAGAGATGGTAGTGTTTTGAACTAAATTCACAACCTGTTGATCTAATTAATCTAACATGGTGAAAAGAAACCCAGCAGTTTCTTCCGTTTCTTCCATGGCTCACTTGCAAACCATGATAGTACTTAAAAAAAAACAAATAAAATAATCTTCTAATGAATGACAGGTGATTCTGTGCTTTTTTTTGGGCCTAGTGTAGTTATTTTCCTTTTCCTCTCAATGATTATGTATAAATAACCATGTTGATATCACTGATCTAATTCTTTAGAGGGCAATATAAGTAATATGTTACTGATACATCATGTATTTTTCATTTTTTCTTGGTGAACTAGGTCTAGATACAAGGTATAAACAAGATGAAGTTAATGCAATCTGTTGATTTATATAGAGTATGATGTGTAAAGTTCATTAGATCACTATAAAATATTTCTTGCACATGCAGTCTTTTAATTTCTGTACTGCAATTTCAAGACTGCAAACAAAAGCGACAAAGCAGAATTCCTCAGTCTTTTTTGCATGGTCATCAGTTTCAGCATGACTATGAAACTATGGTCATTAGTAAACCTGATATATATATGGTTTTCAGCTTTGCCTTTAAGCACAGAGATTTCTCTAGATTCTCTGAATCTTTGAATATTCTGCACTGTAGAAAGAGAAATACCTAAAATCATTGGAAATACCTAAAATCATTAAGGAACCTTTTATCAGCATTTTTCCCAATTTTCTTTACAATTTGGTCGTGTCCAATTTCACCTACTAGCTAGGCCTCCTCCAGTCACATGATGCTTCCAGTGCTAGGAGGGTGAAGCATCTTCTGAGTCATGTGAACCCAGCCACTGAATCCTTTCAAACTGCCACTAACGCAAAGTCATTGGACAGCTGAACATGCTTGGAAGAAAACATTCACTTCCAGTTCTGTTACATCAGCTAACAGACGTCTGTGCTGGCTAGCATCGCGCTAGTGATAGGCAAGAGGGAGGACCATCCTTAAAAACTTAAAACATGTTAAGACAATGTTGATTAATGTAGCTTAGAATTAAAATTGCAGTAATTGTAATATAAAAAATACACTCTTTTAAACTATGATTTTGATATGAAAATGATTGTTTAAGCATTAAAAGATTAATTCTTTGTCTGATGGCAAGACAACATGCAATAAATATATTATGAACTCTGATTGTAAATCCAGCCTTCTATGTATCAGTTCACCACATTCTGAAGCCTGCTTTTGTAATACGTCTTCAAAATTGGGTCTCACTGTTTATTAGTACTCTTTAAAAATGTATTTGTCTGTCTTGATTGTGATTGACTTAGATCTAACTGGCAGATAAAATCATATTTTCCCTTTAACCTGGTTCTTGCACTATTAAACATATCTAAGACACTATATACCTAACTTACAGATAAGTTTTATTTCTTTGACTTGAAAAATCTTTTATGTCCATGATCAGTTGGGAGATTTTCATAAGCAAAAGACAGACAAGCTTGAAGGGCCTTCTGCAAAATATTCAGTAAAATCAATAAGTGCAGTATGACTGGCAAGGAGTTCTTTACTATGCTACACTGAGACTCGCCCCCAGTGGAAAGAACCGATGCAAATTTACAGCAGACACATTGCAGTTCCTCTGTACAATTCACACTTGTTGAATTTAAAGAGTTGCTCATTATTTGAAATCCCCATTCTTCCAGCCTATTGCAGATGTCAGCATGTTCAGATTTCCAGTAGCTATATATTGCTTCAGCCTCAGTGCAATCTTACACAGTGTAAAACAACAGCTATGAATGTCCACATGTAATAAAATCATCTAAATCATCCTTTCAGACTTACAATATTAGTCTGTCACCAAATGTTCAAGCCAAAGTTTTGTGCACTCACGTTAATTCGGTTGGAGAGATGATAATGAGTGAGATTCATGTGATCTGATTTCTTGACACACTTGGATCAGAAATTTACCATTATATTAAGAGCGTGGCAGTTAGGGGTTTACCGGCAAGTTTTACCTTTACCATTTTCCCAGTAAGAAGCGCATGTGGATTAAATGATATTTACTACAACACATTTGGTCTCACATGCAACAAGTCACACACACACACACACACACACACATACACACACACACATGCATACAAAAAAAAAACACATACACAGCTGAAATAGCCAGTTTTATATATTTTAAAGACACATTTTGATCTGTTTTGACTGAACAGCATGTCAAACTGCTGTTGTAGAAGAACAGAGCAGAAAAAAAATACTCAAGCAGGATTTGTGATTGGCAGATTTAACAGACACTGTACTTAAAACAGCCTCTTCTTCCAGTGTCCGATTTGATGTTTCACAAATGGAGAGTAGGTTTAGCTTGAAACCCAAATAAGTGAAGAGTACTTTGACCTGTTGAGATTCTAGTTACATGTTTGAACTGATTTTATTGCAGCTCTGTTAACTTTTTTATCTTAGGGATTTTACAGTGGCTTTTACAAAGAAATTCAAGCTACACATAGAAGAATGACATTTTACAAGAGAAAATCCATCTTTTACTAGTAAAAATGTAATGTTAGTAGTCGATATTTAATAATATGTAATTCTTACATAATTATTATTTAATTGAAAATTTGAATCTTACATGCTAACACATAATACCTACAAATAAGAGTTGAATTTTAAAATGTTATAATTAGATTTTTTTTAGTAAAACATTTTCTGGTAAAATAATTGTAAAAATAAATAATTTTTTGATTAAAACTTAAAACATCTTTACCAAACAACAGACAAATAATTGTCAGCATTTCTTCTCTTAAAATTGTAGCTCTGATTCGAGAATTTTATTTTTCTTTGTTTTCATTCATTTAATCGTGTCAATGTAAATTTTGATTTGCTGTTACCCAGGACACTGGTAAAAATACAGCTGTACTAAAAGACACTGCTGCACTAATCACTGGTGTTTAAAAGCAAGTAATGTTTGACAAAAAACTCTTTTTTAAGTAAGAACGGCTGTGTTTTAGTATATGACAAGAATGTGAAAGAGGTTCAGAGGAAAAGTGTGTTTCTTCAACAGTTTTTATTTCCAGTCAGCACTGTTTACCTGGTTAACCTTTAAGTGACAACATTGTAGATAATATGACAAGCATTATTATTATTAATATTATGCCTAAGTTATATAATTCCTTTGATTCTTATTCATTAACATAAGCATGAAGGCTACATCTGCACTGCGGTGTTTCTATGCTTTCAGTGGACTCTAATACAAAGGCAAATAGCTTGATACTGTAAGCAGACTGTGTTTGTGTTACTGAACACAGTTCTCTAGCCATGCTGCTCTCCTAATTGGTTTAATTCTGACCAGGTCATTATCCTTCTCCTCTGTCTGGACTTCATGGCTGGATGGTGACCTCCGTCTCACCATACACCTGTCTGAGGGCAGCACAGTCCAGGCTGGCCATCAGCTTGGTGGTGCCTGCCCTCCGAGGACTGAAACGCTCCGTCCATGATATAGTGGTGCCTGGACCAATTATGCTGCAAAGCATAAACATACACTTTTAAGCTCCATTTTTATAGGCTTTCACCTCGAAATAAGGATTAATGTGTTCTTGAAAGCAAAAGCATTAATACTGTATATATCATGTAGTACAAAGTTGCCTGAAAGCAAATCAATGTAACTTCAATAAGAACGTAAGCACTGCAAAAAAATTATATATTGGCAAGTGAAAATCTTAAATCTAGTAAATCTAAGTCTAATATTTTTCATTGCTGTAAGAATTTTATAAGATTAATTAACTTGTCATTTTTATTTGTTTTAAGCCATTTTATCTAGTGAAACTGTCTTGTTCTACTGGAATATAATTTCTGTGTTTCAAGCATTATTTCTTAAACCAAGCAAAATGATCTGTCATTAGACTAATTAATTAGTCTTATAATATTCTTACAACAACCTAAAAATGAGAAATAGTAGATATACTGACTACATTTAAGATGCTAACATAGCTTTTTGCAGCGTTGTGAACCCCTTGACAAGTTGTTGTCTGTCTCCTATCTTCTACAAAGACTGCAGAACACAATAGTGATGTCCAGCAGCAGCAGCAGAGTTAGAGGAATGTTATGTCTTATAAAGCAGCTTTTGGAAGAAGTAAGCTTAAATTTGTTTACCTGTACTGCTTTGTATGAATTGACATGATGCCAGGTCCCTCCAGACGAACATACACATTTTTCAGACTGAGCGTAAAGGGGTTGGTGAACTCCACTGTCACGTACATCTCCTCACTCACTCTAGGAGAACCAGACACCTAAAAGAGAGAAACAGTAGGTGTTTGTGTGCCCATTTATGGTTAGATGCATCGTGAACAGGGTCGCAAGGATCAAAATTTTAGGAATGTGTGTTATACCACCTGTCAGTTTCTCCATTAGTTTATTTTTTTTTAGTTATTTTTTAACCAAATCATTGCTCCTTTTTTACCCCTCCATAATTATTATGTACCTTTTCTTTTCATTTATTCCTTTCCCATCCCCCTAGTTTTCCATAAACTGCTATTCCTGTTCCATAAATTCCAGTTACCCTGTTTCATTTAATTTAATTAATCACTTTGTATCATGAAAGTGTTCTTCAAATTGATGGAGAATGCGCTGTAGATGGTTCTATATTGCACCCAAAAAGTTTCTTCTGTTGTTAGCTTTAGTCAATAGAAGAACGCTTTTGGATGCTATAAAGAGCCCTTTTCAAAAAGGTTCTATATAGAATCATCTATTGCACATTCATGCACATTTTCTATCTGAAGAACCCGTTCTGGATGCAAAGAACCCTTCAATCATGTAAAGGGTTCTTTGAGTGTTCATGGTTCTATACTGAACCATTTTCTTTACTAAAGATCCCTTGGAGCACCATTTTTTAAGAGTGTACAATACAGTGTCCTGATTGTTCAGATTATGAAAATATATTACTTATTGTTCCCACTGAAATCTATAGCTGAATTCTAGAGCAACTCAACTACAAAAACACCTTGATTTCAGATGTAAAGCATCTGGATTTGTAATTCACTCATTTACTTGAATAGAGCCCACTATCTGATGTTTCTCCAGCAGGGTCGCTATTAGCACGCTAGCCATTTTTGTATGTTATTTAAAGAATAAGAGGCAAAAGAGTTTTCAAGAAATTATTAGTTACTCAGTTTTATATTATTTAATATGTTAATGTTTTTTTTCATGGAACATTTTAATTAAGTAAATGTTGAAAAAGCTAAAAATACAACAGAAAGTAGTTCTAAACTTTAACTGAGATGCATCAAGAATCGTTTCATAATCACATCTTGGCTACTTGAATCAAACTTTAATCGAACCGCGTGGTGTCTGGAGATAACCTCCCTCAAAAACAATGTATTTTGGGTCTTCAACGTCTTTGCAAACAAGTTGTATTACTCTGTTGGGTTTGAACTGTGAAACTAAGGAAAACTGTAAGAAAGTTCAGTCAGAACACTCCCAGTCCAATCTACATAATGTCCTTGATGCAATTCATGAAATAATGTTTGGCCATCCACATATGTTTCTAAAGATAAATAAAAAGTAGTGGAGCCTGTCAGATTTATTTGATTAAATGTTAAAATGGAGCGTCGGACCTGCACAGTGAGTCTGGGGTTGTGCACATTGATGAGCCTCATGGCGGTTATGATCTGACCCGTCTCTTTCACCTTCCCTGTAGCGATGAAGTGCAGGTTCCCCTGCTCCACCAGGTCATTTTGATAATCCGTGCTGCGCACCAACACTTTCTCCTTCTTACCTAGCACCAGCAGGGGCAACAAGGCAAAGTTCATTTTACACAAATACACAACAACAAAGGGAATGTTGAAAAGATCATTTCAGGATAAAAGGGTAGAGAAGTGAAGGAGAAAAAATGCGCTTATTGTTTGGGTTCATTAGCGATGGCTTAAAGTGCACTCAAATTCAAGTATAAACAAAATGACAACTATGGTAGAGAATACTGTTGGTCATCTAGCTTTAGCAAAGACTTGCACGCATTAACACATTCACTTTCCACAACCCCACATGCTTACTCTGGTGCGGATCCACTTTCACAGTGGGTGTCTTAAGCACGACTTCAGCGCTCGGCACCCCTGTGTAATAGACCACGCTACCACTGATGTAGATGTCCACGGTGCGACGCTGGCTGCTGCGGTTAGTAAACTCCAGCACCAGTTCAAAATCATCCCCCAACTGCACCTCCAGCGCAGGAATCTCCACATTCACGTCTCCCTCAGGCACAGAAGCTTTCTCCCGCTGACAGCCAAACTCCTCAGCCTTCTCCAGCACCCTGCGCTCCTCTGGACTACCTAAGAAGAAAGAGAGAGAGAGCGGGTGACTAATTAAAGAGGAATTATGTGCAATTGAATGGTTAAGTTACAAACAAAGTCATTCAGAGTGATTTTCTTTGAAATGCTCTGTTCCAGAGAAACGTTAACTCTCAGAAATAAAGGTAGTAAACTGTCACTGGGGCAACACCCCTCTTGTCACTGGGGTGGTATTATGGTACATAATTGTACCATAATCCCTTAAAACTATATTTTCTAAGTTGTATTGCCTCCACACACCCCCCGTCTCATCACCAGTCTTTTTATTTTATTGTTATGATTTAAGTCATCAGGATATAAAAAAGTACAAATACATACTTTTCACCTGGGAAAACTTGTTAAAGGTGCGCAATTGAACTTTAAAACCACTGTTGTACCTTTGACGGTACATTTACATTGTTTGTACCTTGAAGAACGAAAAATATACCTGCACAGAACCTTTATTTCTAACAGTGTAGTGAGTCACAAAGCTTAGTAAGAAACTTAGTGAGAACAATGGTGGTGAAAGCACTCAGACATTAGAAGAGTTTTAATGCCTCTAAGATGTCTCTGTGGTGGCAAATACGCTAGATGAAGTTTGAGACGTTGCTTTTCAATCATTTTGAGAGGAGGTTTTGGCCTTAAATGTCATTTTTAAAACACCTCCTTGGTGGAGAGGTACATACAGGGCATTGTAGGGCAAAATAGCACCAAAAGAAAACTTTCGCCAGTATTTTTTCCCTTATCAACATTATTTAAATGTATCAACACAGAAGACATTTTCACTAGTCATTTTTGATAGTAAATAAAATGGTTATATTTGTGTTATAGACACCACCACTTGCTGCATGCTGTTGTACAAATATTAATAGCTCTCCTACCCTCAGGGAACTTGTACTGGTCAGTGATGTCTTTGCGTCCATCATGCAGCACTGCTTTGGTCAGCACCATGCGGCCCACATGGCTGCTGTTCACCTTCACTGGTTGCAGGGTGCCCTCCTTATCTCTGCGGTAGAACACCACATCACTGTTCACCTGCAGAGAGCAATCATCCATTAACATCAAATAAAGCAAAAAGAAGAGCACAAGAATAAGAATCTATGTCTATCCTGGTACATAAATGAATTAATAGTACAATTTATGAATATCTTAATTATACCCTGTGGTTCCCTAAAGAACACTTTTACTGAGAACCACCCCCTAAAAGAGAACGCTTTTGGCACCTTTATTTTTAAAATCGTATGATTCTGAGTTCATAGAGGCTCATTCTTTTGCAGTTTTCCCTACTCAGTCATTCATGAACCGAAACACGTACATCAGAGCTGGGGAGTTGAAAGTTGAAAGTAATGACTCTCTAATATGAGTAATAATCAAAGAGGAAGCACATTTAGGAAACTGGACAACACTGTTTACACTGGTTAGACTAGCAAACTTACCTCAGCAAACACAAATGGGGCATCAAAAGGATAGCACACTTGGCCGTGTTTGATGGCCGCCACAGATGCAGGTCCACACCTGTACATACCTGCCACACAGTGACCAATACAGTTACTGCTACTGTAACTATAATACTGATTAATATGTCATATCACATGTGCATGGATACATTTATCTATGGATCCATGGATACTTTTATCCTGTGGCTGTTATTCACATATGTGTGTTTGCTCACCATCACTTGTCTCCTGAGGTGTAGCATCCACAACCTGCCAGCCTCCAAAGCCCTCAGGAAGGTCAGGCCTCGCCATGTAGCACTCATTCCAGCAGTGATAATTCCTGCAATGCAGGATAAGACCATGCAAAGCCAACATAAATCTCACCTAAAAAACAAGCCCTTTTGGATTTGGATGACATGTTTTACAAGGGTGTCAGTCAGTAAGACCAATTCCAGCTGCTGAGGGCCACTGTCCAGCAGAGTTTGGTGATTTCCTTACTTAAACACACCTCACTGAACTCATGAGTTAAAGGGGACCAGTTATGCTGTCAAATGGATATTTTAGAGGATACCCCCAGAGATACTGTTCCAGAACCTATGAAGCTTGATTACTACATCTGTCATTCTTTATTTGCAGCATTCAGTTGGTGGGGGCGTGGCTATATTTGCACTGCCCTTTATTTTGTCAATATGTCAATATGAGCAGAAAGAAAAAAAGCAGATGTTTGTCGCTCACCACTGAATGACTGAAAATATGCCACTGTTACAAATAACCCAAACTGCAACAACACACAAAATTTGATCTAATGTGTTCACAACACTTCAAGCCAGAAGATTCTGGAGAAAGTTTAAAGGATGGACTTTTGAACTAGCATCAAAATAGCCAAATGTGTTTCCCTTTAATTGCCAGGTTTAGTAGGTCTCAGAACAGACCCCTACAGTAACAACTTCTAATAGCCTATATATTTGTTCCATTTATTCACTAGCATGACAGGACGAAAAGAAAAGGGCTCAGTACTTTTATTGTTTTATCTGAGTATCATAGCAGGACTTCAGTTTAGCAACAGAACTGACCAGATGGAGTCCCTGGTGCGGTTCCTGTCTATTTTGCCATTGTCGTCTAGTATGATGTCCATCTTCAGGTTTCCGTCGTTATCGTGGGCGGAGAAGTAGTTGGTCACAACTCTGCTAGGGATGCCCAGGCAGCGCAAGACTGAGAGAGAGACAGACAAAGAGAAAATCACTTTCAAATTTGGAATGCTGTGCTCTATTCACACGGAACTTTAATAGTGAATTTGTGATTACAAATGTTTTCACTTCAATCATTGTTCTGACAGTCAACCCATCAGAGTGACAATCAGGACTCTGTTAATGGGGCAGAATTAGATTGTTTTAAACAATTTCATTTCCACCACTGAGGTGTACCAGATAGCTGCTAACATACTTTAATTGTTTGCCTTGAGAAAGTACTTTATTTAATTATAATATTTGCTGGACAGCCCAGCAGGCCTGCTTACGAGGGCCGCTGTTTCTTGCTGAGCCTCTTGCTTGACTAATAGTCTGACTGCCACTCATTTTTAAAACACGTATGCATTTAGCTAGCCTGGGAGCTGTGATGCTAGTGCTATATTCTAGCAACTAGAAAATGAGTATTTTCTTGCTTATATTTTTACAGAAAATTTTAAATGCTTAAATTTGTAACAGTGGCAAACTGTAGACATTTTAGTATGTTTATGTGTAAAAATCACCTTTGAGTCTGCTTTTTTGCTAATTTTGACCTAGTTAACTCACTAGCTAACTACATCACTCTTAACGGACTTATTCTTAATGTAACAGTGAACAGAGCATATCAGAATTACAAACTGAACCCATGGAAAGATTTTGTATTTTTTAAGTTAATTCTTAATATTATTGTTGTTAATTAGCAGCTCTAGTAGTAATCGCAGGAGAATTTATAGAAAATGTGCCTTTATTGACAAAAAGTGGGCATCCACTAGGTACCGCAGACAGGTGGACTAAAATGTTAATTTGCCACCTTACACATAATGCAGAGGTTTTTCACATCATGTACTGCAGATACTTGCATGAAACAAATATTATGCCACCAATGGCAGTCCAGCAAGACTAGCCTTGTTTTACTTAAAGAAAATCAGTATGCTGGCGTTTCTGTGTGAGAACAGTGTTTGATCAGCAGAGGGCAGTAAAAGCATGAGTTCAGTCTCTCACAGGTGTTGAAGACAGCCGCATAGACCCAGCACTGCGCATAGCAGACTGGCATTCCTCCACTGCCGGAGTAGTTCAGGAGGATCTCCACACTGCCGGTCCAGGAGGTGGGGGCAACACCGTACATGTAGTCACCACTCCAGTTCCCCACCAACACACCTTCATCATCACGTGAGTTCAGCTGTTAGGTTACAAATAAAAATGGTCCAAACAAATCATTATTACAACTTATGAACATTTTTTCCTTCTCCTGTAAAGTTTCCATTTTGGAGATACAAAGTTTTATTCTAACAATGACAATATATTTTATAAACCTTATTTAAAACCTTATTTAGTAAAACTGCAAACAGTTTCTTTTGTACCTAAATAAAATACTAGAAAATGTTAACAGACAATAAAACAAAATGTATAAGCTATATTCTGTAGTGACTTCTGTTCATCCTTTTCAGATAAACAGCTTTGGCAAAAATGTAGCAAATTAGGTTAAATGCATTTAACTTACATGCTAAACAAGCTGTGAATTAAAAGTTTATCAAGGTTTACTTCATGTGGTCCCACATCATCTAAGAAAACAATGAACCAATTTAACTGTTCACATTTAATATAATGGTTTTCTTTTGGCGGACCATAATTTAGCAGCTCTCTGGAGTTTGGTGTTTATGGTCCTCCTATCTCACCATAGCAGAGGCCTTCCTGCTGATCTTGATAGGATCTCCGCGGTTGGTGAGGGGCATATCAGCTTTATCCATGATGAACAGACAGGCATCCAGAATGCCAAACTCAAACTGAAACACAGAGAATGAGTTCAAATTAGCAACCCACAGCCCCTGAGTCACTCTGACATGTTCACATCGCAGGCCTTTATCTGTGGATGTCAGAATAAAACAGAAACACTTCGCTTGTGACTCACAGATTAAAAACAAAACAAAGCAAAACAAACATCTCAGTCACTTTCCAATTTGACATTTGTTTCTAATCTCTCATAAGTTGTTTAAAGCCTGACATTTCGAAACAAAACCATGCTGTTTTCTTAAACTCTTATTTGGATGTACGCTTTAAAATTATAGAGCACCCTGAAGGTTATAATGAACTTATTTCTAGATATTTTTAGTTGTTTAAAATAATTGTAGTGACAGTTTCTTATTCTATTGGCAAATAAATTAGCTTATTTAAAAATAAAGCAGACACTTTTGCACTTACCAATAAATAATGTTTGAAACAAGCAGAATTAAGGAAATTTCTCTAGGTAAAATTACTTAGAACAAGCAAAATTACTAGAAGTAAGAGAATTAATCTTTTAATAGTCTTTTCACAATCTGAAACATTAGACATATAGACCATATTTAAAAGGAGAATTCCACCAATTTATCAAAATTTCTGCTTAAGCAAACGGTTAAGATGTAAACAAAGTCATTCAGAGTGGTTTAACATAAAAGGCTCTGAAAAAGAGTTAGACTCAGAGTTAGACTTGTTCATAGTTGTGGTGATAAGAACCAGACATCTGAAATGTTTTATGTCTCTAAAAGCTACATCACAGGAAGTTATCATGACAGAAATAGTTATGAACACACTGCGTGATGCCTGATAAGATAAAGTTTTAGCCTAAAACATATTTTCAAAAAAATACATTCAGAATTCAAAATACATTCATTCGGAGATGTACATGCAGGGCATTCTGAGGACACCTAGTCATCCTCACAAAATAAAAAAAAAACATGTGAAGGTGAACTGATTATTTTGTATAGTTTGTATAGATGGTACCCAACACCACCACTGTAAAGAAATCTGAGCCAGTAAGTTTCTCTGCAGTGCACCATTTACATCAAACCACTCTGAATGACTTTGTTTACACCGACTCAAAAATCAAATCAAAACATGTTTATTGGCACATCACATTTACACAGGTTATATATATATATATATATATATATATATATATATATATATATATATATATATATATATATGCACACACACGTAAGATATGTACACATGGACACATTATACACATCAATATACATTCAAATATGCAGAATGTTTTAAACAATGGTCCCATTCATAGATATCATTTCTGTATTGTATAAAACTGAATCAAATGATGTCACTGTTTCCTAGGGGTGGGAATCTTTAGGCACCTCACGATTCGATTCGATTATGATTCAGAGGGCTGTGATGCGATTATAAAATGATTATCGATGCATCTGCGAAAGACTGCACGTCACGTAGCAACGAGGTTTCGCCGAGCTAGTAGCGAACGAAAAAGGAAAAGAGAAAGACAGACGAACATTTGGAGATGAATGAACTTATTCGCATTTATAAGCAGCACAGTTGGTTTCCTGGTACGTTAAATCCGCAACGAGAGACTGTCAAACACTAAAAAGTTGCGAAGATGAAGTCACTTCTCTTTCTAATTTTCCTGTTCCACATTGAATGCTGCCGCAATTACATTCAGCGTCTCAGTCAGAATTTAAGGTGGATCGGGAAAGTTCAGCAAGAAACTGGCGAGTGAGAAGCGACTTCAGCCTTGTAAAACAGCCGAACGCTGAGAGACATTTTCAACAAACTATTCAACTTTTGAGGAAAAGTTTTCTGGCGGAGATGGGAGGAAAGCGGCTGTAGCTGAGCTGAAGCTTAAAGCAGAGTAAGTCTGTGTGTTCGTTTATATTGTTTAGTCTATAATAGGACATTAACACATACTGAGACATACTGGACATTAAATGTTGCGGCTCCCAAGGTGGTTTGATTTTTGTTGAAAGGACAAAATGTTAACATTTGGGTTGTGACTCCTGATCTAACCTGGCTTTTAATGCAGAGGGAGCCAGTTGGATTTCTCACTCATCCAGTAGTGTTTTTGTTATGTGCCGCCACATAACAACTGTCCGGCGCTGCACTTCTGCATTCCAAGTTCCACCCTTTGCGTTTTTTATTAACATTACATTATAAATTAAATATTTAGAAAATCGTTTTTTGACATTCGTGAATCGATTCAGAATCGTCCACGTCTGCATCGCGATGCATCTAAGAATCTTTTTTTTCCCGCACCCCTACTGTTTCCATACCTGCCCATAGTTCCAGGCACGTTCAGATATGTCATCGTACGCGCCATGATAGATGATGCCCAACTCATTCATCACGTACTCCTCCCTCTGCTCCTCATCATCAAGGAACACAGAATCGCCTACAAAGAGAAACCACACTGGCTGAGGAGTAAGGTCAAAGGTCAAAAATAGGTATTCCTTAATATTGCAAACTTTTGACCTATCCATGTTCCGCCCACAAATGTGTTGCGTTTGGACAAACTTTACAGAATGCTGACAGAAATTGGGCGTTTAGATTCTCTACATATTGAGTTTTAACAATAGTACTCTACCGTGCAGCGCTGTAGCTAATCAAAACTAGTCCTGTTGGAACTGACAATGAATTTACTTAGCTCAATTGCACAACACAAAGCCTACACCTGATCTGTCCTAACAGCATGACCTTTCATATTCACACAAAATAAATATCAAGTGAAATAAAGAATACACTCTAAATGTCTGGCAAAACCTGAGCTGTGCAATAAAAATTTCATTTGGGTGAACAGAATTTTTGTCAGTTCTGTAAAGCTTGTCCAGCTTTGCATTCTCACAACTTTGCAACAGTTGCTATAAAACAACACATCTGTGGGTGGAACATAAATTCTTGTTATTGCTCAGTTCCACACCTGGTGACCATGGGTTGAAAATGATGTAAAAGTCCAAGTTGGGGTCCCTCCTTGTCCTTCGAATGCCATATCTAGTGACCACAGCAACATACACCCCATACTTTCCCACAATGCAGTCGGAGGCAGCTGTGATGCCCATGGTAACAACATTGTCGTTGCTCTCGATCACCTGACCACGCCATGTGCTCCGACGCTCCTCAGTGGGGAAGACGGGGATGTAGGTGCCTTTACTGTATTGAGGGCTGGCACCTAGTGGACAGGAGGTCAGGTTACATGTACAGCAGTATCTACACACATTGTAGCCCTGACTTAGCTCCAGGGCCTATAGCAGGCATGTCAAACTGAGATTAGCGTTTACCCTCATCTAACGCTCTGAATTCAGCTCATGAAGGCCTTGCTAATTAGCTGAAGTTCTGAATTAGGTGTGTTTAATGAGGCAGAGTGTTGCAGGTTGCAGAGTTTTGGTCCATGAGGACTGGAGCTTGATACAGGTGGCCTATAGTGAGGATAAATATGCAGAGTAACGTAGAGTAAATGCACGTTGCAATCTATAATGCTGATATAAGAAGTTCAGTACTTTCTATGATTTATCATGTTTTTGGCTAGGCTCAAGACCTCAGTTAAGGCCAAAGGGATTTTTTTTCATATAAGAGTCTTATAAAATACAGCATAAACATAAACAACTGTCCTAGACATTCAGCCTACTTAAACTGCAGTCTAGCTTTTGGGACGCAGCTCATGCATTCTCCCTTCACTGTTCCTTGCAATAATTAAAGTAAATCTTATACCAGTTTACTCGTGAACGTTTACTGATTGTGATTATTATCTTTTCTGTCGTCACAGTTGTCACAATAGGCCTCAATTCTAAAATGTAAAAATCAAGAATTTACATGAAAAAAAGTGTATTTTTTAAACTAAGTTCAGTACTCTCCCTTCAATTGCAATAAATTTGCACCTGCACCAGCCCTCATATAAAGATGTAAACAAATAAGAAATATGTTTTATATGACTAATTTCATGTTAAAATATATACTGTAATCAGGAGTCTTAAACTCTAATGATATGAGAGACTCTGTTCTCCAAAAGGGGTCGGTTATTTTTATCCAATTCAATGCATGTATGCAACATTTAGTAGCATTATTCAGACAAACAAGTAAAGCTGATGCACTTTTTTAATAGGATGTTTCATACTGATCAATTTCTTCACATTCTTTGCTGCTTATTTAAAAATATAAGTAAGTAAAGTTTATTTATATAGCGCTTTTTACAACAGGTGTTGTCACAAAGCAGCTTTACAAGGAAATCAGCATTACAGAAAGACATCTGGGTCCAAGCCCCCATGAGCAAGCCAGAGGCGACAGTGGCAAGGAAAAACTCCCTAGGGACAGGAAGAAACCTTGAGATTTAAACGTCTATGTTATATAAACTCATGTTATTGCAATGAAACAGATGATCCGTCATGAACAGAAGTGGGTAGTTACTAGATCCATGTACTCAGTTCCACATAACATTTTGTTGAATTTGTACTTATGCTATAAATCTGTGAATAAAGGAAACTGTTCAGTTATATTTTAATCCTTCACATTTAGTTTTTTTTTTGCTTAACTTCATTCTGTTGGGGCTGTTGCCCATGCCAATTACTTTCAAGCTTTACTGTTTTAATTTAGACCAGAATAAGGAGAGGAAATGCACCAAACAATCTTGATCTTTTTATTTTTCTTTTAATTTATTCATTTTTGGTAGCTAACTTTATCTACACTTGTATAAACATTTATTTGCAATAATTACTTGAAGATGCTTCCAGGCTCCTGTGACCACCACTTTATATCACTGTTTTCCTCAGAATTTGCAATATTGCTGTCTTAAAGTTTAATGAACTGGAAAGAGGAACCTAAAGAGGAAACACTGGGTACATGAGGAAGCATGCCAACGAGAAGGGAAAGTGACTACGGGGCAATGTTTACTCCTCATTCTCTAACTATAACAGAAGAAGATGCACTTTATTGCTGTGTTAAAGGAATTGTTTCTCAACATACCCTCACATGTTTCCATGAAAAGAGGAAGACAATAGAGTTAAACAGAAGAACTAACACATAATGCTTCATATTATCAAGGATAACAAATATTTGCGCTGCAAAACCAAGATGTTCACACAGTAAAGCCAAATTAACTGCCTTGTTTTCATTGCTCCAGATCTACCCTAAGATGACAGTTATAAAATACACCTACCTTTTACCGACACTTATTGACCATTTTATCAGCTGCACCTACTACGTAAGTGTATTTTGAAGGTTTACAGTTAATGACTGCTGCTGAAAGGGACCACCATAGGACCACCATGATCAAATATTACATTTATGCAATTGGCAGACACTATTCAGAGCAACTTACAAACTTGATCATGTTACTGTGGTGGGTGAATGCAGCGTTAGGAGTTTTGCCCAAGAACCTTGATTGGTTTAGCCAGGTGTTTTTGCCTGAGCAGTGAATTGAACCCTGGTTTGCAGCTAAGATGGCTGGGGTCTAATCCACTACACTATACCAACCACTATACCATTATTTGGATAGTGGACCATTTTCAGCACAGCAGTTCCACCAACATGGCAGTGTGAATTGCTCTGGTACAGCAGCAATGAGTGTAGCTGAGTGTACAAGGAAGTGTACCCAATGAACAGGCAAGTCAGTTAAGCAATAAATGTAATCGTTCTGTTTAAGAGGGAAACGCACCTATAACAAACTCAACAGCAAACTTGTCTTCTGTAGGCTTGTAGGGACGGTTGAAGGTGATCTTCATCTGGAACTGTTGAGCTCGACGTACAATCAGATGGTCACTGGCGTACAGGTGAGTGTGGTGACTCTGCTTATTCACCTCATGGCGTTGCTTCACCATGTCAACATCCCAGATATCCAGGTACTCTGAGTAACAGTGACACAAGAAGAAAAGATTTTTGAAACTAGTTCACTGAAACTCAATTCAGGATGGGTTACATGGCTTATCCTGGTCCCAGGAAAATACTTAACAGAAGATGTGCAGGAACCTTTTTAACTATTACCTAACTGTAGTGAACATGGACATCCTCAAGGCTTCAATTTTGAAAGGGAACTTTACAATTTTGTGAGTTTTGTGACTGGAGCTTATGTCATTTCACAGAGTGGAGTTTCTTCAGAAAATGCTTTATTCTGACAAGATAGGCAATAACATTCACTGCAGGTGTGTTATCTATTCTATAAAAATGACTCAAGAAATAAATGTTATCAGTATGTATAAAGGATGTATCCTGCCTTCCGCCCAATGACAGCTGGGATAGGCTCCAGCACCCCACCGCGACCCAGAAGGATAAGCGGTTTAGATGATGGATGGATGGATGGATGTATAAAGGAAATGTATAGTGTAAATTCTGCATTCTGGTTTTAGATTTTCTTCTGACAGCTTTGGTTAAACAAGTTAAAATAAATCTTCAAAATTACTGCATAATCTGTAGAATTTTCACCTTGTCCTGTAGTACTGTCTTATAGTAAACTAATGCTAGTGATCTAATCCTGTAGCAATTTATAGTAATTGTCTAAATGAACTATAAGATTCTTATAGAAATCCTGTAAAATTCATGAATTATTATTATCATTATTATTATCATTATTATTATTATTATTACAAATACGTTTCATACAGGAAAAGAAAATGCACCAGTGTTAATATGATCCACAAAGACTCACTACATTATATAAGGATCTTTACACCAATCTCAAATTGATCAACTTTGGTAAGGTTGATGGAAAAAATGATGGAAATGAGGGAACTCACAGAAACCCAAATGAACTAAATTCTGTGTTAAGTCCTAGTTCAGTGCTGTTTTCCTCTGCTCTAGGATGGTAGATTATGGTGCTAACAACCTAACAAATGGGTAAGATTCCCAGGGAACACACGCATGCTGATATATACCTTCCCTGTACTATAAATTGCTGAGGGTCTGTATGAGGTCCTCAGTTCCTGAACTTAGTTTCTCTCATAACCACAAACCTCACAGATCAGCTTTTATAGGCTGTTTATAGTATTTATAGTAGTTACTGAATAAGATGTTTCATCAGTAATACCTGAAATATAGTGTTGAGAGTCCTGAAGCGGGCTTCTGCCAAACTGTGTGAGATCTAAATGAACACTGTAGTGATTTTACTCCACTGAAACACACACACACTCTGAACCTCACCATTAAGAGGTGGAACTCCTCTAGGCAGTGGCCCAAAAGCCTCAAACTCAGGCACACTTCCTTCATCTTTGTTGGAGCTTGCCGAAGGAGCCGCACTGCGGCCACGGTGGGACACCCGTTTGGGACGTACAGCTGGTGCTGCAGGGGTCTCTGTAGGCTCAGGAGTCTCCTGATCTGCCATAGCTGGTGCACTTCAAAATGCTGGAAAAGAGTAAAAGTATGCAGAAAAGTGCACAACTCTTCAGTTAAGGGCAGCATTCATCCATGTACAGTTGTATGCAAAAGTTTGAATAGTCCTGGTCTAATTGTATGTGTTGTTGATTTTCTAAGTGAAAATAAGCAAACACATCTTCTATAGAGAACATGCTTAAATATAACACTTTTCTGCAAACTTCTATGCCCAGTTTCTACTTAATTTGCCGTGTTAAACATATTGGAAAAAATAAAAGGCAAAATGTGACATAACTTTTATACCATCACATTTTGTGGTTTGTTTTTGTTCCCAGTATGTTAAATGTAAACTGATCTCACATTTAGCGAAATAGCCAAACCAAGGTGGAGCAATTTGTGGGAATATTTTAAACATAAAGATGACAAATTTGTATAACAGTATAATTTGTTTGAGTTTACACATGCATACTTAAAGCATGAAGCTCAGAAATCAAGCTTTGCTCCCCAGGAAAAAAAGCTCTAAGACTAAAACACAGGGGAAGGTAACCACTGTAGAATGATTCAGTAAATTGGATCAAATGCAATATACTAAAAATTATGCTGCTCTCTTAAGACTTTTCCTTATTTGCCTATTTGTTAAAATCTGTTGTTTGCTCTGAATTCAGTTCATGAATGCCTTGTTAATTAGTTGAAGACCCGGTCAGGTGTGTATAATGACACAGTGCGCTGAACTCTGCACTGTTATAGGATTGGAGCCTGACACACGTGCTTCAGACTGTTAGTGTAAACCTGTCAGGTTAACGTTAATAAAGTCTGCTGCTGTAGAATCTGGCAGTGTGGAAAGTCAGATTAAACACCTGATTCAGACATTTTCAGGAAGACACCGCAGATCTCAGTTTTGACAATAAAAATAATATACTTGTTAGTATTTCTATAGATTAGCTGAATAAATGAGGGGGGTTCTTCAGAATTCTCTCCTGGCAGTGTCACCACCTCCCCCCAAATCAAATGCTCTTTAAATCTACATAACTCGTGACATACTTGTCAATAATATGGCTAATTTTGGCAAAAAGACTACAAATTTGCATTTAAATGTAACCCTGTTTTTATGATGTACCTGTGATCTGATTACTGATTTTGTTTTACCTGTAACAGAATGCAGTTATATATTTTTTTAGTATTCTGATGACGTAATACTACATTTACATTACTAGTTGTTTAATTCCAAGTTGTGTCAGTTGCCAAAGGCTTGTTTGTCAATTTTGACTGAAATAAGGTTCTGTTAAGTAACTTCGCAGCTAGAAATGATTACAAAATATGACTGCTGACTTAGCGTAGCTTAAAATGCCTAGTATGGCTTCAGAAATTCAAAAAGATGCTTTGCAGCATTTCACTTAGTACAGGCTTTGTGACAACTTGATCACAGAACTGAAAATGTGTTTAGTTTATTTAAGACTCTAGGAACCTGAAATCAGTGACGCTCTTGCTTCTGACAAAAGAGGAAATGAAGGCCAATTTGCCACTTTGGTTTTTCTACAATGCAGTGCTTCCTACTATCTGACTTTCTTTCTAGCAAGACTACTGAGAAAATATAGAATTTATCCAGTAGAGGTCAATAACAAATAAGAAAATGGTTTCTTACAATAAAACCAACCCTTTCTAACTCAATGTTTATCTACAAACCGCAATGATACTTTTTAACAGGGAAACTACACATTCCTGTGGTGTCCATCAGTGTCTGATGACCTGAACATGATCTCATCACATCTGGGTCTTAATCAACTCCAGCTAAGAGCTACACAGAAGGCATTAGTCTCAGCTCTCAGTGGAAAAATCTGCAGTAAATAATAACAAGTAATGTTTTATGTGAGATGCTTACTTGAGATGTTTTCATATTGCACATTAGTTACAAATAAACAATAATTAAAGGAATATGGTGGCTGGGCAATTACTCACACTAAAATGACAGCATGAATAGCATTTTTTAGCTTTTTTTCCCCAAAAGTATTTATAAGCAAACCAGTGGCGCTGCTTGCCATCCACAGTTGGAGTAGGAATCCAGTGAGAACACTAAGTTTATTAGATTTCTTGGGTGCTTCATTTTTAGCTGGTAGGGGTTGAAATGAAAAACTACCTGTCATGAATGTTTTCCCCTCTTAAATCTTCTGCAGTGTATTTTTATGCTACGCTGGAAACATGGCAGCTGTTTTCATTCAAACTAAGAACGGCACAAACTATGTCACCGCAGAAGACACAAGCACTCGTTTGAGAATGTGTCATTACATAATGGGCGTCTGCTGGTGAAAAGGCTGCAGTTTGGGCACCGTGTTGGCACCTGGTAGACCCCCCTGTAGCAGTGAGTCATCTCACACACAGTGAAAGCTCTGTTTTCTCCCAGAACGCTTTGGAAGGCCAAACTGCAGATGCTCCCACATTTTCCACACTTAGGCTTGGCAGAGTTGGTACAGGGTGGGGAAAATATCTATCAGCACAGATTTTTAGAAATGTTTTCATTACTGTTTTTAATGGTTGTGGGCGCACATGTATTATAAAACTCTCTGGAACTCTTGCAACTTATATAATGCATGGCAGACACACACACACACACACACACACACACACACACACACACACACACACACACACACATATCTAATAGTGACACAGTGACACACATTAGAAAAATTCAAAACACCAAACCAGTACCAGACAGTTTTTACAGAATGTGTGAAGTTTTTATAAGACATTTGAGACAGAGTGTAATGATGGATCTACTGTTAGAAATTCTGATCGTACTTACTGCATAGTCAAACAATGTACTTAAAAATGTCTAAACTGGAGCCACAATACAGCTGCTTGGGAGGCATGTTGGTGGTCATATTGTAATCAAAATCATTTAAACATGGTTGTGAGTTACGTTATACTACTTTTTAGCAATGTTTTTCCCAGTTTATACATTTCTCATCATTGTTTTTGCAAGTGCAAATCTAATGCTGAAAACTGTGTGGCCCACTACAAAGTCAAATCATAAGTGCTTTGGAAGAGATTGGAAGATTTTCAGAAGCCAAACCAATGACTGTGAAGAACATGTGGCCAACATTTGGCCAACTCCTGGACAAGCAATGTAATGGCCAGGAACATTAAATTGGTTTTTAAAAGAGAATTTCATTGTAGATGTGACTTGTGGCTAAAATTAGATTACTGCAGAGCAAAAAAATGCATCTTAATATCAATGGGACACCACTGTCTTTCTCTATTGTAGCGAGTGTATGTGTTAGGTCACATGCAAAACTGTATTTACAACATCCACTAAAATACATTCAATGAAAGGAAATCTTCTGCCACAAAATTAAAAATCTTAATATTAACTTATTTTTAACTTGATATTTGAATTTGCTAAGTAGGGAGTGTAATATGCATCATAACTGCTGGTGTTTACTAACCTGATGTGTTTGCTGAGGGAGAGGCTGGAGGAACTTGGAGTGTCTCAGAGTCTGCTCACACACTTCAGGCTCCTGAGGCTGCCACGATCATCCCCCCCTGCTACCACCATTTATATACAGAGAAGGAGTAGCCCACCATGTGTGTGTGTGTGCGTGTGTGTGTGTGTGTGTGTGTGTGTGTGTATAAGTGTGTAAGAGAGCCATTGAGATAAAGCAGCCTCTGGGCTGGGTGTTGTGCACATGTGGATGTCACTATGAAAGCTGATGTGTTTCCATGTTTGGTTATATGTGTGTGTTTGTGTGTGTGTGTTCATCTATGCTGACTTTAATTTCGCAGGGCTTTTTGTAGTTTGTTTTTCACACATTATTCATCACCCAAAGACATGTTTGAATGTATTTTACATGTTTTGTTATTCTAACTATGATGGTACTTTATGCTTCAGTAACTAATTAACTGAATTTAGTTACTTCCATCTTTGTGGTCTAAATGACTGATGTAAGTGCAGCAATCAGATATTCATTTGATGGTGTGATTGATTATCAGAACTACGCTGCTGTGACAGTCTGCAAGAACATTCAATCACTTTTTATCAGAAGCTAGCAAGCTAGAGCTTCATGTTTGCTGATATCTTTGCATGTTGTAATAAATAGAACAGTGAAACGAGGGTTTGCATACAGTTGTGGGTTCATATTACAGCACACATGACCTGTATAAATACAGACGTGCAGGGGAAAACTGTAAAAATACAGTTATTAACTGTGTTTAGAAATTAAATATTGTAAAATTGTAATTTAAGGGTGTCTTTTGTCTTGCTTAAAAATACATAGCAAGATCTAATCATGCATGTGATTGTTTGTGTGTGTGTGTGTGCCCACAGAAATACTTTTATAAATAGTCTTTTAAGTGAGGCAAGCCACTTGGGGAAAGCAATGTGTGACCAAATAAAGAACTAAGTGAGGAATGTACCACGTCCATCTTTCTGTCTAGACAGGCAAGTGTTAGAAAAGTCAAAATTCATACATGATGAATACATAATGTGTCCTAAGGAGAAATCTCATAACATAAACTAACACACATCAGTGAACAATATAAGTCTATACTATGATGTTGGCTTCTGAGAACATATACTTAAGTGATTGTAGTTCCAAAATATAACTGATTTTAACATGCAAGCAATGAAACCTTAAGTCTCTCATTATTTGTACATGTGCCACAGCTATATGCAGCCAATATGGAAACAGCTTACTTTGCCCGTTACACTGAGAAACAAAACGCAGTTGTTCCTGATACCCAGGAAAAGTTGAATCATAGGCATGATCTAACCACTAGCATGCTCAGAAACACCAGAACACACTAAGCTACGTTCATCCACCAGCAGCTTTAGTGCTAGAACATGCAGAGGCCCCAGTATGGCCAGTCTTCAAAGCAAGTGGCAGAATGCTTAGATTTGGAGTAAAGAGATTATGAGGAGACTCTCTGCACACACATCTTATGAATAGTCTTTTCAGCAACATCCCCAGGCATTAAGAACCAACATGTGACAGTAGTTTGCAAAAAAAGTGCATCATGAAACTAAAATGTGGCAGTGGTCTGCAAAAACACAGGGGTGGAAATTAATGACCTTTTGAGGGGCTTTGGGTGTTTTCTGCTCCCTCATTTAAATGTGCACATCAAAAGAAAGCAGTTGGTTTCTGAGTTCAGTTATTCTGATAAATACGTTGAAATATACCATTTACAATCAAATTTAGACTTTACCCAAGACTTTATTGACTATGAACTTCAAAACGTAGTACATCAAAATGTAGTATATTACAAGCACTATTTTTTTTTTCAAGAATATCTCAGCGTTACTACTTATTGTGCATAAAATAGGCACATGGAACCAGCTGCCCTAATCACAAAGAAGTTCAACAGAACTCAACTGAAGTGATATCGTGTGAAGATGGCACTCCTTAATAGAGCAGCATCAACCACAATGTTCTCTTTAGTTCCGCTCTACCCGTGTCGGCAGACAGCACCCATACATGCTGTTTCCTGTGTTGCACTACTAGTGAGAAAGAAACCACAGGTTAATCATGTGATCTGGTTCCATATTCTGCGTTGTGTTCTGCTGTTCCGCACAGCAGTAGGAAGTAAGTGAAGTGCTCGTGAGTTACTGAAAAGTAAAAAATGATGAGGATAGCGAAGATATAAGTGGAACCAAGCAGGCGAAAGAACAAACAAAGGATACAGAGCTTACGCCAGAGTGATGGAGACACAGAGTGAGAATCCATTCAATGCTGGTAAGCTGCACACGATCATGATTGAAGATGACCACAGAGCAGACGAGTGCCTGAGCATTTTGAACTTAAGTTTAGGAAATGGCCGATACATCCTAAATGAAATGCACTGTCTAGGTCCCACATTTGCCCATTTGTCCACTCTCTATATGATCTCTATGTATAGTGGCCCCAAAAAAGTATTTGGACATTTGTACCATACTTAAAAATGTACTAAGTTCCTTGTGTTAGAGAACAAAACCAAGCGTCTTTTTTTTTTTTTTGAATGACCATTCCGAGACCATCTCTGACCTCTGAAAAAAGATTCTTTCAAACGACAGCTGACGTTTTTTAGTTCATTATCATTTGAGCAATTTCTTTGCAGAGTTTTGCGGTTTTTATCTAAAATGGCTTCATACACTTCATAATACCACCAATGAACACAAGCTCACTGACACCACTGTAAGAAAAACAGCCACAGGCTTTGATGTTTTCACCTGTGTGCCTTACAGTACTCTTACTGTAGTCTGGTTAGAAACCTTCTCCAGGTTTTCTCCAAACATCACACTCTATCATCAGTTTGATGTTATGCTAAAAGTGAAATAAATGTCATTTTGTTGCCAGGCAACCTAAAGAACCTCATTTAAGTTTACCAATTGCTCTTAAAAAAAAAACCCTTGCATAATGTAACAGTTCTAAGTTCTACTTTAAACCTTAAAAGTTCTTCACACTACCAAATCTCTTTTTAAACACTGTTCCTAAGTGAACCAAAAGTAGTTCTTTTATGGCATTGCTTAAAAAACCTTTTGCAAGTTTGGACCATGACTTCAACATGTGGTGGTAGTCTGAGGGAAGACTGATTGATGGAGGGAAGCGAACTCTGAGAACTTGGGCTGGAGTTCTGGGTGGCTTTTGCCAGTTGCTAGAAGGTCAGACCCACTTGTAACTGTGGTAGGACTGTCATGGAACTAAGGAACGGGAAGGAAATTGGATGGTGGTGGGGATTGGGAAAAGTTTGTCACGAGAAACGGAAGGTGAGAATGTAAATTTATAGTGCGTTAAATTGGAAGGAGGAGGGGTTTTAGACATGCTCCCAAATTTCAGTTATTCTGTAACTCCATTTTACATACATCATCTTAACCACTTATCCTTCTGGGTCGCGGTGGGGTGCTGGAGCCTATCCCAGCTGTCATTGGGCGGAAGGCAGGATACACCCTGGACAGGTCGCCAGTCCATCGCAGGGCAGACAGACACATTCACACCTAGGGGCAATTTAGCATGTCCAATCAGCCTGACTGCATGTTTTTGGACTGTGGGAGGAAACCCACACAGACAGGGGGAGAACATGCAAACTCCACACAGAAATGACCCCGGTCGCCCGGCCAGGAATCGAACCCAGGCCATTCTTGCTGTGAGGCGACAGCGCTACCCACTGCGCCACCGTGCCGCCCTGTAACTCCATTTTGTGGCACCTTAATTTTTAGTGTCCAGAATACTTTTGGGGCCATTAGATATCACATACCTTATCATAGGCTGCTATGGTCAAATGCACAGATAGATTATTAAAGCTGTGTCAGACAGGATGTAAGAGTGTGACACTGCTTAATCCAAGCATGCAAAGTAAATATACTTAGATACTTTCTATGTCTCTTTTAGGAGCCAAACAACATGCTGCTGCAAAGGCAGCAGACAGCACTCACCAAGGGAACTCCCCTCTCCCAGAGCTGCGTCTGGTTCTGCTAGGCCGCAAAGGGACAGGAAAGAGTTCTGCTGGAAACACTATTCTTGGCCTGAGTGGGGGGTTTGAGACTGGCAAGCCAACAGAGGAGTGTGTGAAAAGGCGGGCTGACACTGCAGGCCATCGTGTTACAGTAGTGGACACCCCGGGATGGGAATGGTATTACTCAAGCAATGGCACTCCAGGCTGGGTGCAAAGAGAGACAATGAGAAGTGTGTCACTCTGTCCACCTGGACCCCACGCTTTGCTTCTTGTGGTACGGTCCTGTGCCTCGGTGACAGAGGACTACTATCGTCAGATTGAGGTGCACCTGGAGCTTTTAGGGAAGACAGTGTGGGGACACACCATGGTGCTGTTCACACGTGGGGACGAATTAAGCTCCATTCCCATTGAACAGAGAATACAAAATGGAGGGAAGTCCTTCCAGAAGCTTCTACAAAGGTGTGGAAATCGGTTCCATGTTCTAGAAAACAAACGCCGTGGTGATGATGGAACTCAGGTGATGGAACTGATGAGGAAAATAGAGGAGATGGTGAAAGAGAGAGGGGGAAAACATTATGACTCGGATCCACTGCTGCTGGTCTTGGAGGTAGAAGGGAAACGAAGAGCAAGAGAGAGAAGAAAGAAACAAAGACTCATGGAGGCCCAAACACAAAGAGGGGCCATAAAAGCTGTGCTAACAGGTGAGTGCTTATGAATTCTCTACATCAGGGGTGTCCAATCTTATCCGCAGAGGGCTGGTGTGGCTGCAGGTTTTCACTCCAACAAAGCAGGAGGTCACCTGATGAAATGTTTGAAGACTAAGACCAGCTGATTAAACAAGTATAATAAGGTGTGCTCCAGCTTGTTTGGAGTGAAAACCTGCAGCCACACCAGGCCTTTGCAGATAAGATTGGACACCCCTGCTCTACATGCTACATGAAAACATCCTATGATTGATCTAATTATACATACACTCAGTGGCTATTTTATTAGGCCTTGCATCAGGCCATGGTGCTGCATCAACCAGTCATCATGCCCCACTAAAGCCACAGGAGTATTCATGTTTCTATAGTGGCAAACAGCAAAACAGAATCAAAGTGAAACTAAACTGCTGCACTGCCTACCACGTGTGTCTTGAATAAAAGGCTTCGTCAATTAACACAAGAGGGTTTGCATGCAAGACTTTGTATTGGCTGTATTATAGGGAGGGGTTGTATGATGTGGAAAAAGGAAAATCAGCAGACAGATTAATTGTAAACATGCTTTTCCTAATGATTCCCTCCTGGAGGCTTCACTCCTTTGGACAGTGGTACAGTACATTTCTAAACCCATTTTTAGGTCTTTTTTTTCCCATGTGGATGTGCTGTACACACACTGCTATGATTTTCCGATGCCCCACTTGTGATTACGTTTTGGTGATGGGCCTGGGTACATCTACCTATCTACACTAATTGTCCAATTTATCCAGTTGGCTTAACCATAGTTATTGTAGTTGTACAAAGTTCTAACATCTGTTTTCCTGAATAGTTTGTCTGTTTTTTTTTCACAACAAAACAAATATGCATATACAGACATACACATACACAAAAACGTCTGTGAAATGGGAGGAGGAATAAAGAAAAACATGACATCAAGCAGTATGCAGTAACAATGACATTTTAAATAGCAAAAGTAACTGTAACAGATTGTTCTTGCCTTCATACTGTGGCATTTGGCTGTGCCCCTTTCCAAACAACCCAAAACGAGGATAAGAACCTCGAACAAACCATCCTTTGAAAATGTATTTGCTAGACATTAAGGCTGCCATTAAAACCCTTTTTTGCTGCAATGTTGCTGGAGTTTTCAAACACTGTGTGTACACTAGATGTGTCAGTGTTCCATTTTAAACATGCACAGTAAAGTTATCAGGGACACTTTGAAATACTGTTAAAGTGTTCATGACAACTATTGTCCATTACTCAAACTAACTGTTGTTTCAACCGAGTGTTTTCTGTGAAGGCCAAGCAGCTCTGCTTTCACAAGTTCCTACTACACTGTCATGCTTTGATCACGGGACATAGCCCTTCCTCTGAGTGGAGCTTTTAAACAGTCACAATGCGTAGAGCCACAGCACAGAGAAAGGAGAAGCAGACAAAGGACTTTCTCCTACAAAAAAATAAAGGCTCACATTCCAACTGGCTTGAAAGAAATGCTCAATCCCACCAATACATGTATGTTTACAACTATCTTTGTATGAAGTAAAAGATTGATCTTAATTACTTAACCAGGTTTTCAAGCACACCTAGTTTGGCACTCTGCTGAAGCTAAAGCTTGAAATCTCATATATTAAATAAATTAGCATAATCATCACGTGTGTGTTTTGATAAACAGAGGCTACTAATAAAACAAGGGTTTCTACATCCAACACTGTTAAACAAGGACTGGCATAGCATGTACATGTTTAACTAATACAGCACAGTATATACAGTATGTTTTATGATGGAATAGTAAAGGTTCTAGTAGTATGTTCCATATTGTATTTTATGTTGGAGCAGCTTCACAGCTCTTGGTAAAGGTGATCTGTTGCAGAGTTCTCAAGTTCAGTCCTGAGTGCACATAGTCCTTTATCATGTGAAGTTTGTTTTTATTTAGTTCGTTTTTTGTTGTTTTTACTGCACATGTATACTGCTCACACACACTCACTACCATGTCACTACCATATCAGTGTCACTGCAGTGCTAAGAATGATCCACTGTCTAAAAAATTCCTGCTCAGTGGTGGTCCTGTGGGGGTCTTGACCACTGATAAATAGGGTAAAGAAAGACTAATACATTTTCAGAGAAACAGGTTAAACATTATCAGTAATTGTAGAACTACAAAGTGCACCAATAAAGCATAGATAAAACTGACAAGGTAGGTGTTCCTTATAAATTGGCCCAGTGAGTGCATTTGAAGGCTAAATGTATATGTTGCATATTCAAAACCATGTACCTTGTGGTAAAGACAATTTAAGCATGTCTACATTCGCACATGCTATAGAAACAGGTCTCAGGAAAGAATGAGACTGAATAAGAGGAAAACACTGTGCCTCATAGAATACTGTAAAACCAGGTTTACGTTACTAAAAATATTGTGGAAGCTGATTACCTGGGGTCCATTTAAGCTATTCTAAATTAATTCAGTTAGCTTGGGCTGGATCAAATTCCACAGTTAAATTAAGCAGTCAACAAACTTTTTTATATTACATTTTTTCTTTATTCCACACAGTTGATGCTCCACAAACTGAAGATCTGGATGACAGGAGTTTGTTCTCTAGGGGATCACGCCGTCTCCCGGAGCTGCGACTTATCCTTCTGGGAGAAAGAGAGACGGGCAAAAGCTCTGCTGGGAATGCCATCCTCAGAGGGGTCACATTTTTCCAAACAGGACAGGCCACAGAGGAATGTTCAAGGCAGCAGGCAGAAGTTTCCGGAAGACTGGTCACAGTGGTGGATGCTCCTGGATGGGAGGGTGGACCTGATGGAATTACCCCAGAGAGAGTGAGGCGAGAGATCGGTGTTAGTGTGACCTTGTGTCCTCCTGGTCCCCATGCTCTCCTTTTGACCCTGAGGGTGGATGCCCTGGTCAGAGCTGCAGCAGTCAGGGACCACTTGGAGTTACTTGGCGAAGGGGTATGGAGACATACCGTACTGCTTTTCACCAGAGGTGACCAGCTGAGAGAGGGAGTCACTATTGAGCAACACATTCAAGGAGGAGGCAAGGACCTGCACTGGCTGATGGAGAAATGCGGCAACAGATACCACGTTATTAGCAGTGTCTCCTGGGAAGGTCACAGCTCCACTGCCCAGGTAACTGGACTGTTGGAGAAGATAGAGAAAATGGTGGCAGGAAATCGTTGTGAGGCTTTCTCACCACTGGTGCAGGAGATTCAGGATCTTGGAAAGCAGAAGAATGAGAGGTTCAACCAGAAACTGAAAGAAGTTAACGACAAGCTTCAACGTCAAGACACGGAGCTGAAAAGGATGAGAGAAAGGGAGGTGAAAAGTATCAGGTGGTTTTTTGACAGAAGGAAAGACAAGGTGAAATCCCCAGAGAAAACAAGCACAGAGAAGGAGGAAGCAGTGGATAGAGGAGAAGATGACAGGAAGAGCATAATGGGAGAACTAGAGGAGAGAATGGCTTGGTTAACAGAAGATAAAGAAAGAGAGATTCAAGAGCTGAGCCTGGAAAACAGCAGAGTCATAGCAGCTCTAAACCAGGTATACAGAGAGAAAGATGAGCTGGTTATGAAATTGGAGGAGAAAGAGAATGAGGGTGATGAATTGAAAGAAAAAGTGGACGAGCTACAAGTGAAAGTGTTGGAGCTAGAACGTGTGAGCATGTTAAAGGAGCAAGAAAGACAAGAGAAAGAAGAAGAGCTGACAAAAAGGCATGAGAGTGTTGAAAAGGAGGTCAATGTGTTGAAAGAAGAACTGGATCAGAAGGAAAAGGAAGAAGAGGGGCTAAAGAGAAGAGTTGAAGAGACAGAGCAAAAAATGGCACAGTCAAAACTGAGGTATGAGGACGAGATCATACAAGCAAAGCACGAAACACACCAAATACTATCAGCAAAGAATGAATTTGAGAAAAGGCTTGTTGAAAACCAGAAGGAGATGGAAGAGATTAAACTGCAAGCTGAGAACAAAATTAAGGAGCAAGAAGAAAGATGGAGGGAACTGAGTGAAAAGAGGGAGAGGGAGATGAATAAACTAAGAGAAATGCTAGAGCTGATGACCAAAGAGATGGAAGAGCTACAGGTTGCTTTCCAAGAACAAGTGAAAACATCAGAAGCAGAGAGACAAATGCATGAAAACACGGTAATAAAATACAATGAACTTGTAGACAAACTTCTTGGGAAAGATGCAGAAATTGTAGCCATTCAGAAGAGGCAAAAGGAGCAGGAGATGGCCCAAAGTATTGAGACTCAAGCAAAACTGCAGGAAAAGGATGCAGAAATAAATGACTTAACAAAAAGACACAAGGAGAAGGAGCAGGAGATCGATGTACTGAAGCAAGCTGTTGATGCAAAACAGAAAACCATGGAAATTTTGAAAAATGATAGTCAAGCAAAAATTGTGGAATTCACCTCTAGAATAAAACTTTTGGAGGATGAGTACAAAGAGATGGAAGATTTCCTGAAAAGAGAAAATGCGATTATAAAAGAAGAAATGGAGATCATGAAGAAACTGTATGAGGACAACATGAGAAAGAAAGAAGATGACACAAGGCAGATCTTGGAGATGAAGGAAAACATGATCAACCAACTGCAGAAACAGAACAAAAACAGGGAAGCCCATCTAGAAGATCTTATAGAGCAGTTAAGAGAGAGCCAAATCCATGAAGGGAGTCTACAAAATCAAAATGAAGCCCTCATGCAGGAGTCAGAAGGGCTTCTTTTAAAGTGTGAGGACTATAAAAGAGACCTTCAGGCCCAGAGAGCTGAAAGCCAGAGAAAAGAGAAAGAGATTAAAGACATTCTCAACCAATATGAGGAAATGGGGAAAATCAAAGATGCATTGTCCCAAGAGCACATTGAAGAGAAAGAAAAGGAGATCTGTCTGCTGAAACAGACCAACCACACCCAGCAAATGGACCTGGAAGACATGAAGGAAAGAGCTAAAGAACTAAAAAACAAGATAGAAGAGATGAAAAAATACTATGAGGAAAGGCTGCTGGAAAGAATAGCAGAAATGGATGTTAAGGATGCTGAGAGGGAGCGAGCTCTGCACAGTAGAGAGCTGGAGCTGAGTGAAAGAGAGCACACTCTGAGACAAAATATGCAAGAGCTTGAACGAAGCAAAAAGGACTTGAAAAAACAAGAGGATGACATCAGCTGGAGAGAACAAGGGCTAAGAGATGAAAAGCAGGTGCTGGATAAGAGGGAACATGAAGTAAGAGACAAGGAGAAGAAACTGGAACATCAGTGCCAAAATAACCAGCGCTACCAAGAAGACCTGGAGAGAAGAGAAAACGAGCTACAGAAAAGAGAAGAAGAGCTTTTAGACGCAGAGCAAAAGTTAGAGCAAGAGATTAAGAAGAAACATGAGGAGCACAAGGCTGTAGAGATGATACTGGAAAGCAAGCAGAAGGCACAGAAGGATCTGTCTGAAAAGCAGGAAAAGGAAATAGAAAATATCAGGCAGCAGCTGGAAGACAGAGGAAAAGAACTGAGGAAAATGGAAGAGGAGCTTGTACTAAAACAGCTTAATCTTAAGGAAGAAAAGAAAGCCTTGGAGAACCACAGAGAGAACGTAGAAACCAAAGAACAGGGATTAAAGAAAAGACAGCAACAGTTAATAGACTCAGAGAATGTGTATGAGAACAAACTGCAGGAACTGTATAGAGGTATGCAGGAACTGGAGAAAACCAAACAGGACCATGAAAAATGGCAGGCAGAACTAACAAACAAGGAATATGATTTGACACAAAGACTAAACGAGTTGCAGAAAAAAGAGCAAGAACTGCGAGAGAGAGAGCACGAACTTGGACTCATAACTCAAGAGCTAATGGTAAAAAGTCAAGAGATCGAGACTCGTGAACAAAACCAGGCAACTTTATCTGACAAATGGAAAAAAGAATTAGAGGCAATTGAGCTGGACTTATCAATGAAGGAGCAAGAACTGATAAATGCAAAGGAGGAGCTTGAGAGAAGACAGCAAGAACTTGCAGACAGAGATAAAGACCTAGACATAAAAGAACATCAAATTAACAAGAAATATGATGAGTATGAGGTGGCAGAAAAGATGCTGGAAAGCAAGGAGAAAGCACAGATTATTTCTTTGGAAAAGCAGGAAAAGGACATAGAAATTGTCAGGCAGCAGCTGGAAGAGAGAGAAAAAGAGCTAAAGAACATGGAGGAAGAGCTTCTAGTAAAGCAAATTAAGCATAAGGAGGACTTGGAGAACCATACAGCGAATCTAGATATCAAAGAATCTGAAATGAGCAAGAGAGAGCAACAGCTAATGGATTCAGAGCAGATCTGTGAGGTCAAAGCACAAGAATTGTCCAACGCTTTGCAGGAACTACAGAATAACAAACAGGAAAATGAAAAATGGCAAGCTGAATTAACTGCCAAGGAATGTGATCTGATACAGAGACTAAACGAACTTGAGAAAAAAGAGCACCAGCTTTTACAGAGAGAAAATGACAATGCAGTCAAGGAGACCAATCAGGAGATTGAGAAACATCAACAACAGCTCTTGAGCTTACAACACATCCAGGCAACTGACAAACTGGAAAAGGAATTAGAAGGTGTTAAGCAGGCCTTGGCAATAAGGGAGCAAGAAGTGACAAACAAAGAGGATGAGCTTCAAAAAAGGGAAGATAATCTTAAGAGTGCAGAAATATATCTGGGGCAGAGAGAGGAAATTGTGCAGAAAAGAGAAGAAGAAGTACAAATTAACAAACAACAGCAAGATGCCATGTTATGTGATCTCAAGAAAAAACAAGAGAAAACAGAAGAAATAGCGTCTTCTTTAGAAACAAAACAACATGAGCTCGAAGATCTTCAGAAAGAACTTATCAACAGAGAACAAAACATAGCAACAAAAGAACAAAACCTGAGCAACACATACAAGGAACTAGACATAAGGAAGAGCACCATGGAAAACCATGAGCTTGATCTAAAGTCAACAGAGAACACTTTAAAGAACAGAGAGCAAGAGTTGAATGAACTGAAGGAAATTCTAGAAATGAAGAAGGAAGATTTAGCAAACTGCACAAATGAACTAGAGAACCAGAAACAGGAGCTAAACCATGAGAAACAAGTTGTGAAAGTAAAAACAGAGGAGCTGGAAAAGTGGGAAAAATATCTGTACAATACAGAGCTTAAAATGATCAACAGTAATTCCAACTTTAAGTTTCAACCATGGAGCCAAACAACAGCACCTAATGGAAATCAGCAAGTCACACAAAAAATGTATCAAGAAGTTGGAGTGGATGGCAGAACCTGTGAAAAAGAGCTCAGAGAATATGGTAATGAGGATGGGGAGGATGATCAGAGTGTGCAGATGGCTTCACCATCAAAAATGACAAACTGCGAGCCTGAAAATGCACAGCTGGCATTCCAGCATAGAAGCAAAGGAGAGCTAGAGGCCAAGACAGGAAAGGAAGGCAATGGAATGAGCTGGTGGGAAGAGGAGTCAGATGCTAAAGAGGAAGAGGGTGAAGAATTCTTTGAGCCAGCCAGTTCTGACCACTCAATGACTCAAGGTTCACACTCTGTGCCTCAGGAGCTCAGAGTAGTTCTACTAGGGGAGACGCGGTCATCTCGCCGCTCAGTCAGACATATCATCCTGGGGCAATATACTGAGATTGGCAGCCCCTGGACAGGAAGTGTATCTGGCAAGCCCCTCGTTGTTGTGGAGCCCCAGGGGATAAAATGGCGATCACCCAAAGCTATGAATGTGGCGTTTGAAAAGGAACTCATGCAAAATGTATCCCTGTGCAGCCCTGGCCCTCACGCTTTCATCCTCATCCTGCCCGCTTACCTAAGTTTTACAGGACAGTACAGGAGAGCGGTGGAGCGTACCATGGCCATGCTGGGAGAGGCTTCATGGAAGCATGCTATTGTTCTGTTCACATGGGGAGAAGCTCTCGGAGAAAGTGGTCAACAGCACATAAAGAGGAATGGGGATTTGGAATGGCTCATTAAGAAATGTGGAGGCCGATACCACATACTAGATAACAGACACAGGGAAGCTCATGTGGTAGAGCTGTTGGAGAAGATTTCCAGAATGGTGGCAGGGAACCCCAAGCATTATTACCAAACAGAGTGACTCAGAGATGAAGAAGGGAGATGAAATTAAGATAAATTTTTCTGTTAAATAGAATGACACTTGGGTAAATTGTGATGGATTTGTAAGATCTTTACACATTTCTGTAAATAAATAAATAAATAAATAGCATTTTTGTTTCTTTTTTTGTTCTGAGTAATAAAACAGCAGCTTATGGTCACTGAATTCAACAGTAGTTTTCAATCCTAGTGCTGGGCACTTTAACAACAACATTTTTTTTATGTAGTACATTTAAGCAGCTTAAAATACTATTTACAAACATGGAAATAATGAAAATAAAGGCAAATGCAAGAAGATAACCCACTCTCAAATGGATAAAAAGTCAAATGCTAAAGATACAAAATACGGTAATAAAGCAAAAACAATAGGATAAATAAAGAGTCCAAACAAAATTCAAACTCAGGACAAATATAACTCAAATGACTCTTTTTAAGTGCTTTTTAACGAGCCAGTGGTTTGAAACACCCGTGGCAGGTCCTGGATATTTAAGAGGTTAAATGCTATATAGAAACATATGTTGAAACACTGATCAATATGCATTACTATACTTTAACACCACATTTCCACTAGATTTGTACTTAAGTAACTACTTCTTCTAGGTGTGGTGAGGTATTTTTATATTTGTACTTTTACTCAAATGCAAGACAACTTCTGCTTGTATTCATGCTGCTTCGCCCAGGTAGCCGACACCACATTACTTGTTCAACCTTACATGTAGCTCATTCTTATATTGAGCCATCACAATCCTTGTAGTTTGTAGCCTTAGATGTACTTTTACCCTTATCACATAGAGGAAGGCTGGCTCATTCAATAATCCACCACAGGGAGGAGAATTTGTATCATATGCTGATCTGTTGTTTGAGGTAGATATTTTATTTCTGTCATGCATCTTCCTTTCTTAATTTTTAAACCCTTTTTTCATTGTCACATACTTCAAATAAAACTGAAATAGACTTTGAAATAGTCTCTGTTCCTACATTATAAAACAGAGCCTGCTCTAATGGGTGACTACTGAACTGTTAATACTAAACAAGCCAGTCAAAATTCTTTCTGCATCCTTACATTCTCTCACCAAATGCTAGATGCCATATGGTCTAGCGCTTCACCTGTTTCCAGAGGTGTGGATTACATGCATTCTTATCATTGTTGCAATTTTTGTAAAATCTTAAAATCTTATGACTGTCCTTTTCATTTAAGTAAATGTTAATCTGTGGCTATAACAGATTTTAAGAAGGCCAGCACAGGCCTCTAGATATATTGCTACACAGCCTAGAGCCTTAGTCAAATTCATATTATTAATAAGCTTCACAATGTTTGCCGTAATTCAGAAGGCATGGTATGCTATTTTTATTGGGATGGCTTTTTGGGATTGCACAGGAAGCAGATTTACGTTTTTAGAAACATTGGAAACGCTGCAGCTTAGTGACATCTGCTGGCTCCATGTTGGCAACTGCAACAATCTATAAATGTTTTCATGATTTCTCCAGCTCTCTATGTTGCTGTGGCCATTTATTTATGTGAATTGATAGAGCAGTGCTGCCATTTATTTCAACAAAAGACATTCTGGTATTGAACACAGAGCCAGAGGGAGAACACTGTGTGTTGGGTTTTGATGTCAGAAGCAGCCTGCAGTCAGTGCAGTGGTTTGGTTTTGATAATTGCACTTCCAATGTTACTACACTCTCAGAAATAAAGGTACAAAACTGTCACTGGGTCAGTTCCCCTCTTATCGCTGGGGTCGTACCCTCAAGGGTACATCAGCACCTTTAGTCAGGGAACATAATTGTGCCATAATCCACTGATACTATATTTTCTACGTTGTATTGACTCCACACACCCCGTCTCGTCTCCAGACTTTTTATTTTACTGTTTTTACTGTTCTGTTTTACAACATTAGGTTATTAAAAGGTACAAATATGTACTTTTCCACTGGGAAAAATATATTTAATGTAAGTAGGTAACCTGCATGGTACCTTTATTTCCAACAGCGTAAGTTACAGCACTGCTCAGTAAACATTGGGACAGAACTGCTGTCACATATAATGGCTCATATCAGTGGTTTTTAAGTGAGGATACACAAGAGAACTTTGAGAGTTTCATTTCAAAACTCTACATATCTATTTGTAACAGCAAATTTAAAAAATATAGAAAAGAATGTAATGCACATGTAATGCAAAACATATTTTAATTTCTGTAATCATGATGGTATTAATCATAATGCAGCACTGATATTTCTTGTATGTGTAAAGCCCAGTCCCAACAACAGAACATCAAGAAGGAAAAAATAAAAAGAAAATTCCTGAAAGTGTCCTTTATTGCATTTAGGAATAAAATATTTCATTTGCAAAATGTGAAAAGAGCATAAAATATTCTTTAAAAAAAGTAAGCAAGTTTCTGTATTCTAACTGAAGGTGCAGAAACAACTGAAGTACTTAACAGACCAAAGGCAGCAGGCTGGCAAACACACCACGACAGTTGAGAAGGACGCCATCTGTCTACTCTGGATGTGTGCATGTTCCTTTTCAAAGCCTTTCTGCAATTCATACTAAATTGTTAAAAAAAGGATTTACCTTTGTGAAGCAAACCTTTTCTGCAATGGTCCAGACAAAACAGAGAAAAGCCCTATCACTGCAGCTGCCTCCCTGCTCCCAGAGAAAAATCATCAGTCGGTGACAGGATCAGATTGCTCACTGAATCTGAAGTGCTTAACATGTCCCCATTCCGCTGAATGTTTACAGATATAGAGTACTTTGCAAAAGTCAGAGACCACCATCGTGACAGTCAGCTACACAAGATCCATGTAATCCCAAACAGATCTGAATGGGGTGACCAGTCCATTATTTTGAGAACACCAGCAGTTTCTTTGTTTGATTTGCAATTTTTCTTCGTTTTTCTGTTTTGCAAAACGTGTGCACAAACAATAAAATCACACCATGTGGCAAAATGTTATGCTGCTGGTGCTAATTCATTTGTTCAAGCTGAAGCTTTAAGTTTGTAATCCTGAACAGATGTGCTTTCCATGTCATCAAGGAAGATATTAGGGAAATAGTGTGTCAATGATTAATATTGTATGCAAAGACTTGAAAGTAATATAATTTAGATCTGCACTTTGAGTGTAAAGCAGCAACTGTGCGTCTGAATGTAAAGGTATGGTGTCAAAAGGTATCAAAAATTTACATGAGACAATACATTTATCATTATTCCATATAAAGTTAAGAGTTAATTTCTTAGACATGGAGTAAACCTGGTCTAAGACTAAAGTGCAGTGCCAGTGGTGTTTCACCATTACAAATGCTAGTCAGTCTGAGCTAAGGCTTAATCTGGGTTTGGAAAACCAGCTGTAAAAGTCTATCAGAATTAGCAGAACTAGCATGCTTTGATTATGTTTGGATTTCTCAGAACATTCTAAGACGGTGAATGAGCTCAGGCTGCCAAAAATCTCCTTTCAAATTAGATTTAGTGATGATCATTCACAGAGATAAACACCTGAGTAGGACACTTCAGTAGGGCATAAACCATGTTTAATTAGTTAAATCATTCAAGGCCTTTTAGCGGCAGAATTTATAAAAAGGGACTTGCCATTAGTCCTGTGGTTGAGTGGGCTCGTGCTGGGCGTCTACTGTTCTGCTGACAGGTAAATTATGAGTTTGAATGCAGGGGTCTGTTTCGTTTGAAAGAGAGACACATTCAATCTCAGAAACAGACTTTGAAAATAGAATTCTCTTTCAATGGCCACACTGACAGGCACAACAAGAAGCGAGGCGCTCATATGTAATCAGTGGTAATTGTGGCCCATGGCTGTCATGTGCAAGCCAGTTATCCCTCTACCTTACCATTACACCAGGCAGGCTGTCAACTCAAACGACCCAAGCACGGGGAAGTGCTCCTCAGTAGCATTTATTTTTCACTAGGATGTTTGTACCTCCCAGCAGGGGGACCATTCTGATGTCTGTAAAGAAAAAAAAACACCACTTACCATTCATGCAATAAAATAAGTATTTTTTTCCCTTCCTCTTTCAAAGACCACATTGTTAGATTTAGGGCAAACACATCACTTAGGTGAATGTAACATGCAATCTCATAGAAAATTTGCTTTCAATGACCGAGTGCATTAGCCTAGTCCATTAAATTGTCCATTAGGCTAACTATTATTTTGATTTAGTATGTGTTCATTTATTGTAAATTATCCTTTTAAGGTAATGCTCATGCACAAGCAACATAATTTCACTGGCAAACTTTATAAAACCTCTTTGATTACATCCGACAAATTATGGCCAACTTCTGACTAAACACAGGAAGTACATTTCCGCACCATAATGCACAGATCATGCCTACTTCATGGTAATTGATGATGAATCCACTTCAGAACTCTTTGTCTTACATTTCAGGCAGTCTCTCTTTCATTCTGTTTAGTGGGATGGACTAGTCACTACTCTGCATTGCATCAGCTGAACATTTTCTGTACGCCTGCTTCTTTGTGATATACCTAAAAGTGATCTTGTTAGGCCACTGTTAAAAACATAGGACTTACTGCCCCCCCCCTTTGAAAGCACCACCTTCCTGTTCAAAGTGGATTTAATAGGTTATTTCTATCAGTGGCTAATAACTCATTTGAATAATGGATTTTCTGATGTTGGGTTTCGGCACTTGACCGAGCGAGTGAATGTCTGATTTACTATAATGTCATTATTATTCAAGAGGTTTTAAAAGACTCGTCAGACTTTTCCACAGTACATACAACATTTCACAGTGCATGCTGAGCACATTTTCATCAGACATAATTAATTCTCCATCATTAATTTGAGTCCATTTGCAAGACTGCTGTTTTAAAATGAACCACTGGTCAAAGTCCTCCTCTGCCATTTAAGCCTGTAAAATACAGTAAATGAATTATATAGCAGCATTGTACAGCATATAGATATCAATTTCGCAGATGTCTGTGTCAATCACTGTGAGGGTTTGCCCTCCGCATGCCCTTTAGAATAGCCCCTCTAATTTGTTGTTTCCTTGGGTTTTGAGAAACTTCCAACGCGTGCTGTGACTGCACTCATCTCAGAAAGGTCAAACGTATCTCTCTTGGGGTGGACATATTAAATCTGAT